TCATACCTCGTAAGTATTGATGATAGCATTACTGTCGTGTGGGAGTGATATCTTATGAAATGCAGATTTTCGGAACATGCAATTAAACGATACAAATTGTTTTTTTTCGTCTGATTTGTTTATCATCAATAGAAAACCCTCTTTCCAGTACAATCGGAAAACCAGTGCCAAACAAACGGGGACGCAAACCACTGACTGCTATGCCATCAACGGTACTTTTAATCTACCTTTTTCTGAATCGATTCTTAAATATTTGGTGACATTTATATGACATTATATATATTTTTTTGTTTACTGTCGAATTACTTACATAAATAGTAGTATTATTTAATCAATTCGTCCTTGTTTTTCCATTAGTCTTTTTTGCTTTTCTAACCGTTATTCTCGTTCAAACAGAAAAAGCACATGCAAAACTTGACTAATCAGCGTGCTTTTCGCCAACGTCGAGAGAACTACATTCGCAGTTTGGAGAACAAAGCAACCACGCTAGAGATTCTCTACGCACAAGCGCGGGAGGAAATCAAAACTTTGAAGGAACAACTGGCGTCTTTTGGAAAGCAACGTTTGAACGGAGGTGATGCATCAATTTGCTCTAATGGACTCAATACAGAAACCATAGACACGCAATTCGCACAGAAACTGTGCTCGAAGACGCTTGATTCTTGCTGCGGTGTTGACAGATCGATGTATACCGTTCCGGACATGGAAAACCATGACCTGTCGGGCAGTCAACTGTTTGGTACCAACACAGACAACCACCAGAAGAATGGCCTTTCTTGTGATGTCGTTATGGGCGACTCGTTAAATACAACTGCAGATGCTCCCGATGTAAGTAACTGAGAAATTTACTGCTGTATATTTACTACTTGAAACAATTGGTTTGCTAAATAAATTATTCAATAATAAACAGATAATTACTTGTATCAATAAACTTCAACGCTAACATGTCTTTCCCCTTCCCTACTCAATCTACTAGCAACAGAAACGAGATCAACAGTCTCCATCACATCTCCAATCACAGCAAGATGCCTTAAATGACAGCTTTCTATTGAACCCAATGTTCTGCGAGCCCAAAACTGGCGAGCTCTGTTATTGTGACCCTGAATCTGTCACAGAGACAGACACGTTCTTAAAGACTCCGACAATCGCTAAATGCTACATCGATGAAGCGACGGGTAAACGCATGTGGATCATCCCGAAAGACGTTCTAACGCCTCCGTTTGCCACTCCAGATTCACCCTCTCAATACTATCCAACTACGTACACATTACCATCGCCCGATGAACCAGAGCCACATTGGCTACAGCAGCATCAATATTACAATAGCGCTCCACCGCCCACACCTCCTTCTAACGGGTACACCAGCGGACAATTAGAGTTGAAGTGGATGATGGATGATAGTCAGAGAGGAGAGGGCCAGACCTGTGGCGGGACGGTGTAGTGTTTACGTGAACGACCGAAGATTCTTGATTGTTAAATATGGTTTCTTTATTTGACATCTTCATGTTCCATATTTTCTTTTGATGGCATCTATTTCATCACTATAAATATTCTTTCCCCTTCTTTTAAACTTCCTTCTTGTGAATAGCCGAACATTATAGACAGGATTATTTTGGAATTTTATACAAGCACATTTGCGTATATATATATTTAACAGGGTGCGGGCAATGGAGGGACTTTTACATAGACGGCGTCAACTATATAGTATCTTTCTTTCTTTCTTTCTTTTCAAATCCGGGCGGATATTTGACACCAAGCGATCATTTGTGCACACTGATTTGCTTTTTACGACTTTTCGTTTAACACTTCCTTCCTTTAACTGAAACCTTGGGCGTGTGCTATATCCCCTCGTAGTCATTACTGATTAATCCTAGTTTCTCTATTTTCACGATTCTCGCATTATCATTCCCTTCTTTCCGTTTATTCACACAACACCACATAACACACCTCTACCAATGATCAGTATTTCAGACAGTATTTCACGTTCTGTTTGTTCTTGTATATATAAGATACAGGACTAACATAAAACCACACGACCTCGGGGTTTTATAGATTGACTAGTAGAACTACATAACAGAGCTTCTTGTATACTCGGATGTTCTCTTGAATTTTCTTTCCTTGATGCTTCTTGCTAGTAAATCTGAACTTTTTCTAACAATCAAATATCCACTCAGTAACCAATTAAATTGGACATTTGTTAATAACTGTAATTTCATTTTCCTCCCTTGACCTTCACAAATCAATGGTAAATATTCACTCATTTTGCATCTCCCAAGTATATATATATTATATTCAACTATATATAAATACAATCTTTTTCAAACCAAGGATTGAGTTCTGTTGCTCGTGGAGAAGTATTGCATAGTCGTTTCAATATCTGGCCAATGATTATTAAAGCCACAGTATGAATTTACTCTTCTTTCTATGTAGAAAGTTGTAAAATTTGAAAGTTTACTTGTTGTTCTACAAAGCACAGTAAAATGGAAATCAGTCAGATGCTTTCACAACGAGTCTCGCAAGCCCAACGTACATAACAGGTAACCCGATCATGATGTCGTCTGCAAAATCGGTAGATGGGCATATTTGATTGTAATTCTGTATTCACTCATCAACGAGATCGAGTGTAATCATATTAAGGGGGGCATACTAATACCGACCGAGTGAAACTATTATGTCACACATGTTTGTGATGACCAACGACTGATTGGTTATATGCGAAATCCAAGGCGTTTTGGTTTAATAAATGAGTTCACGAATTAAATGTTTCGATATACGCCTCTTTACCAAAAAGTCGTCAGAAAATGGTTTTTTTTTGAAGTTAATTGACTGTGCAATCAAAGAAATGCATCATCCCTTATCGAGCTGAAGTGGAAGAATTAGGTTACACGCAACAATCGTATATTTTCCTATTGTAAATCATTTTTTCAACCCACGACCGCTAAACAATAGATTCAACGTTATCATTATTTGTCGACAAATGAAATCATTACCTTTTGAAAACCCATTATTTATTTATTAGCATATACATAGACAGGAGTAAGTAAATAATAGCGAATACTTTCGGCAAGGGTATACAGCACCCCCGTGGAACGTACACAAACATATCCTTTTAAGCTTTGGTACAGTATATACAAATATAAATAAATCAATTTAAAAGGAAAAAATTAATTAAGATTTCCACTTGTGGGAAAAAAAAGGGTTTACAGAATGCGAAACCATGGTTTGGTTTTGAGACTAAACCGGAAATATTGCTTCAATCTTTTAAGATCAACAATTAAAAATAGAGCACTTTATCTAAAGAAATTTTGATTCCGTGCAAAGTGCCTATTTGAAAAATCCCCATTACGGCAACAGTAATAAACATATAATCTCAAAATTTGTACCAGTCGGTTTTATTAACCTCAATAGATCGAATCGTTAGATTAAATTCTTTGAATTGCGGACGCCAATTGCATACGAAAGTTACTTTGATACGACACGACGGCTCACTAAAACTTGCCATGAGGCCGTGTGTACGGAATGACAAGCGTAAATTTTCTGAAACAGTGTTGGAATATAAATGACAACTTCTCCTTTGAGTTATATTAGATATTTATTTGTCATTATGGAAGCGTAAACACAATAAATTGCATTTTAATTATCTTTATTAGCCAACCAAACTATTGTTTATATTTTGCAAAACGTCGTTGCAAGTAGGTCGAAAACGCTGTTATTAAATGTAGATTTTTCATGCTGGTTGGATCATTGACTGTTCAAATTACCAAACAAACAATTTAATACAATAAGGTACAGCTAAAGGCTGGCATCCCCACTTATTGTTGTGTTAAAGTTTGTAAAATGTCATATCTTTGCATAAACAAAAGTATTACACGCGCAAGATTTATAAATTGCACAGACTCGTGCATAATATAATAATCATGTTTCATAATGTAATTAGTTGGTGTTTTTGAACAACACAATTCGATTTTGTTTGTGAACAAACGTTCGAAAAAGGTTCTAACACCCATAATTGTAAAAATGTATCACTTCTACAGGTAAGCGCAATAAAATTATAAATCTTTCTAGGAACAACCGATCAATAAAAAATTCATCTTTCTAACAATAAACGAGCTTGCTACTTGTTCCCGAACTGATGGTCAGAAACTATTGTTTATGTGCTGGTTCGACAGCCTCTCTTAGTAATGAGCAAGAAAAACATTTTCACATCATACCATCCAAGAGATTGGACTATTCGAAAATATGTCATATGGAATAGTTAGAGCAAATTTACAATATTTAACAACGATGGTCCAGCATTGAAGAATTCCTGACACCACATTTAATGTTTATTAATATGGTTCCAACAGTATGTTTGGGAAGACAAACTTACGAAAACAACTATTAGTCGAAAAAGATGCGCTTAGTTTATGACGCGAATACAATGAAATGGTGGACAACAAATTTTGATTTTTATAAAAGAAAAAACGACAACAGCAGGGTTTGAACCTGCGCTCCCATAGGGAATCAGATTTCAAGTCTGACGCCTTAACCACTCGGCCATGTTGTCACATACAATGGTGTTGTTAAATAAAGTAAGTATAATAGTTTACTATTTAAGCAAAATTATTTACGCAATTAGTATGGTGTGGCAAAATGTATTGTTGGCTAAAATGAACATCTAACAGCTCTCGTAACAACCTCGTTGGCATTTCGTTGTATCGACCTCTTAATAACACTACTATAAATAGATCGAGACACACTCGGTTATAAAGAGGATTTTCCCAACTAGACTCTACTCGGGTATTAATTTTGTGTTAATCAGCCACAGTTACACATTCTATATACATGAGCCACATAAAAATTACTCCACAAAAGACAAGTTCTTTTGTTTGCGAGTTTTTGATTGCTTACGTCATTCATGCACGGTTCGCCCGAATCTGTGGTGCACCCATGGAAGCAAAAGCTGATTTAACAACAACAGTTCTTCAGTTCTATAGCCATTAGCATTCCTCCCAGACGTTATGAATGTTGCAGGGTTTTCTGACTTGCGCCCTCCACCACCCGCAAAAAGGGTTAAGCTAGTATCTACTTGCGATACTTGTAAGAACAGGAAAGTGAAATGTGACAGAGTGAGACCAAAATGCGGTACATGCAAGAAGACGGGTCGTGAGTGTGGTTACAAGTATTCTGACACGACACATGAAATGAGAGAAAGTGGGGCCAGATCGCGTGCTGAATTGGAGTACATGAAGGCACAAGTGCAAGAGTTGATGAATACACAGTTCAACAATGTCGTTCAAATGCAAAATTGCATTGCCGTTGCCGTTAAGAGTGCTGGAGTGGACATGACCAATGGAGACCAAATAGCAAATATATTAGCCGCACCAGACATACCGCTGAGAAATAATGATCTATTCAGGATTCCTGTTAGTATTATATATTCGTATGCTATAATGTATGATTTGTATACCGTGCAGTTATTAATGTTTATATATTTATTTTATCTGTTCAACAGGGAGACAGCGCATTGTTTTCAGACCAATATAACCTTATCCAACATCTTGCAGCAGAAACATTAAGCTACTCTACGGAAATAGCTGCGCAGATTGATAGGGATAAAGAACAACGTCTGGTACGTATCTTAAAAATTTAAGTGATACTCACAAATTCTATCCTCGCCCAAGCCACTCCATTCCGAATGCCTGAAACGGAGTCGGAATAAGTATTTGATAGATCATTAATTTGAACGCATAACCAACTTTTTGATAGTACGATCCGCATCATGTTCTAAACTACGCGGATTTCGCTGTACTCGCACAACAACAGGTGAAAGAACCTCAAGGTCAAACGGCTGATCATCAGTCTAACGGCCAGACCAATAGTCAAACCAATGTCCAAGGCAGTAGTCAGAATGCCAACGAAGACGTTATGATGGAGGAACTGGTTTCGGCTATTGACGATTTGACTCTGTATCAGTCGACCAGATATATTGGCGAGGGATCGCTTTTGCTCATTGGCAGTACCGATGATAATGGAGAAAAATTTATTACAGAACCTCATCAGTGCTTAGCTGAAGTTGAAGAGGGATTAAGGGCGTTACCTACTTTTCAGACCGCAAAGGAATACGTAGATCTGTATCTGAAGGTTAGACTTCTCATTCTGATTTAGAGCCGTTATACGTAACAATTAATTTATATAGAGTGAATATGTTATTATGCGTTTGTTATTTACTTTATTCATTTGTTCATCTATTGCCTATATATTTCTCATTATAATGGTCTCTGCAGCATGTACACCGTTATACTCCATTCCTAAGACGAGCGATTTTTCATAATGCACTCAACGGTCCACTAAATCCACAACATCTCTTAATCCTCAATTGTATATTCTTTGCGGCAGCTCCATTTCATCATGATCCAGAGAAGAGTAATGGCAGAGTTTATTTTGAAAGAGCAGAAGGTGAGTTTAACAAGCTTGATGTAGTGGTTGCTATGCATCAAATTTCAAACAACTTACTATATTTTTGATAGCTTTATTGTATAAATATTGTCGCGTTCGGCCGCATGTGCTTACTGTTATGGCCACCGTTTTATTGAGTCATTATAATAAGGATGTGAGTATAATTATGATGTTGTCGTTGTTATAACCAAATACTGATTTGTTGAATTAATTGATTTCAGGAGGTTGCTAAATGGATGTACAATGGAATTGGTACTAAGATGTTGTTTGAGCTTGGGCTACACCGGAAAATAAAAAATGTCAAACCGAAAATAGCCAAGGAGGTTGAGAGATTACGAGACGAGGCCTTCTGGATGATATTTATTTCAGAAAAGTAGAATCACAATTCCTTGCTACATGTCTATGACATTAGTTTATTACGCTTTCTGACGATGAAATATTTGTCCATATATCAGCTTTATTTCAGCAGCTTACGGCCGTCCCAATATGATTGAAGAGTCTGATTGCGATATAGATGTACCATCAATTCCTCAACTAATTAATCCGTTGGATGATGAAACAAGACTTCATATTGCGTTCATACATCTTATTACTCTCAGTCGCCTTTGTGTCAAAGTACGCAAATATTTACATGCGGCATCAAGACTCAGGCCAATGTTTGAGCAGGAAGATAAAAATAAATTTAGATTGTTGGATTTGTCATTGAGTACATGGCATCGAGAGTTACCACCCTGGTTACAGATGAGTGAATTATCAAAGGATGAAAATAGCACTCTGCTCAACGGTATTGGAGGTACGTATAAATGGCATAACTTGATGGTGGAACATTCTGATTGTCGACTTTCAATTATGCATCAAGTGTCGCTGTAAAACATTAATCCTACGTGTGAGTGCTTAATCTATGCGTGCAAAACTCATATTTCACAGGTGACTTGCACCTCTTCTACGGGGTTGTACTTATCTTGCTTCACAGTAGATATTTAAAACCACCGGGTCCGTATTCCATATATACAATTTATCCTATTGATTCGCCTCAAATATGTACAAATGCTGCAACGACACTTGTGAATTGGCTACAATACATACTCGAAAAGTCACCTGACTTCTTTGCACTTGCAATATGTGGTGTCACGGCTATTAATCCGGCTATGCGTGTATTTAGGTGGAACGAGAAATATGATGCAAACGAAAGAGTTCGATTAAAGGCTAGTGAAATGATAGGAAAGCTCGAGTATATAAGGCAGCAGACGGATAACGTTCGCAACAAATATGACAGAGGTAGACTTGATGGAGAATTAGGACTAAACATTGAGCAGTCTATTGACGACTCCTTTGGAAGAGTTCAATTGACATTGGAGACTATTGAGGTCGATATTAGTAGAAGAGACTACGAAGTGTATGTTAATGATGACGATTTTGAACTTAGGGAACAATATCGGAGGTTAATGTGGAGGCAACGAACACCATTACGAAAATTAACTAGGCCTTTCAGAAGTAATAGTAGAGCTATGAGTGGCATAGTTTATTCACATAATCGTTCACAAAGTGGCAGTCGGTATGATAATCAATTCATGGTCATGCCAATTCCGGAAACAGATTTACCTAATTTCGTTTTTACGCCGAAAAGACAAATTTCATTCGGAGACTATCAACCTGCTTCTGATAATACAGAGGGACAGCAATATGAAGAAGTTGCCTCAGTAATGTCTAATAACCAGATATGTGATGAACCAGGACCGATAATGCCACCGGAATATGTGAATCCGCTACAGATTGACAACCTTCAGAATGGCCATATACAAGAACAATATCTGCAACAAGCAACATCGGTACAATCGCCACATGAAGATATAGAACAACCATCATCACAACCATTATCACCAAAACCATCACCACAGCCACAGCAACAACAATCACAACAACCACAACAGCAGCAACACCCAAAACAACCACCACCACCGATACAACAACGGCAAAATCAAAAGACAGCACTGCCATCACCGCCACAACAGCTGTCCAAGTACGTCAACCCACTCTCACCGCAGCTCGATGAAAAATTGCCAGTATTGCCGATGACACCCCCACATCAACAATATGCTGATGACCTCTCGGGCAATGAAGGCCCAATGCTTTGTTCGCAACCAGACAACCCAGCACGCACTTTCTCAAATTCATCTAATAAGTCTGTTATGCTTACACCTCCTCAGCATCCGCTTGATTTTTTCGATTGTTTGCCTGAGGGTGAACTCGAGACTGATATTTTGAATGGTATAAACGCGTTACATAATGAACAGACTTGATGGTGCAAGGATATATATATACATGTAAATCATATCATTAATTTATCTTTTAATAAATAAAATGTCACAACATCTATTCTGCCAATTATTCATAGCAAGTGACGTGACCTGAACAATAACATTCACCACAATGCCAGAAATCGGTACGCAATATTGTCACAAGTCACTATATTTACTGCAGCCATTTCTCGTTTTTTACAGTTTACCCTTCATTGGCTTTGGTTTATCGTACACAGATTTTGTCAAATAATCAGTAGGCACGGAGCCATGATTATACAAATCCCTAATATCCAAGTATTGCGGCCCACACTCACGAATACTTGTCACACCAGCTAGAGCCATAGTTAACTCCAGCTCATCCTTAAGCAACTGTAGAGCACGCTCAACGCCTGGTTGACCATATGCAGACATGGCATATAACATAGGTCTACCGATCCCAACAGCCTTCGCTCCAAGAGCGATAGCTTTGAAAATGTCCGTGCCCCTGCGAATGCCCCCATCAATATAAATCTCTATTTTATCATATAGGCCTTCAATCTTCAAAGCTTGAACAACCTCGGGGAGTATTTCGATAGCTGACCTCGCAAAGTCAAGCTGCCTTCCACCGTGATTAGAAAGTACTATGCCCTCCATTCCCAACTTGGCAGCCATCACCGCATCCTCAACTGTCTGGATACCTTTTAGCACCAAAGGCATTGACGTGATCGATCTAAACCATTCCAAATCAGCCCATTTGAGTCTGCAATCAATAAAACTATTCATAGCTTTAGCAGCGCCTTGATCACGACGAATATCCTTCTCTTCCTGCAAATCAGGCGGGGCTTCAACATATTTCAGACGCATGTCCTTTTCGCGACGACCTAAATGAGGTGCATCTACAGTAATAAAAAGAGCTTTACAACCCTTGGCCTCGGCCGCACGAACTACGCGCTCTGTTATATTTCTATCCGGGTTTGCGTATAACTGATAGAATTGTACTTGTCCTTCGCCACGCGCATTAACCATTTCATCAAGGGAGCAAGAAGCGAGTGTTGGTATCATTTGGATAACTTTATGAGTATAGGCAGCACGTGTGAGAACAACTTCACCTTCGGGGTGACCTAACTTGCCAAGAGCAGTTGCTGTTATATACAAAGGAAACGACGAATAATGGCCAAGTATAGTAGTGCTAATGTCAATTTTTGAAACGTCAATTAATACTCTCGGTTTTAGCCAGATGCGACGAAACGCTTCATGATTTTCCCTCATGGTAACCTCATCATCAGCTCCTGAGCTGTAGTAAGCCCAAGCTTCCTTGGTAAGAATTTGAGAAGCAACAGCTTCAAAATCAAACAGATTCAACATTTCATCCAGATTAGGTCTTTTTTCCATGACCTGACGTCGTCTGTTCTGCTCACTATCGGCCTCTGCAGTCTTTGTGACAGTTGCTGGATCAATTCTCCCGAGACACATCTCGGGAGGTAAATACTGTTGAATAATACTTATAGGATGCACTGGATCAAATGCAGCAGTAGCATCCTTTCCTGCCTGCTTTAAAATAACATTTATTCCACCCGGATGTTTGGGTAGGAAATTTGTTAGATCATAAACGTTTTCGTGAATGATAACCCAACAGTCGTTGCGGCTATTGTGTTTTGCGACCTCCTCGGCTGAGACAAGCTTCGCCATTATGCCAACGCAAAATTGTTTGATCGCGAAGATGACTATATAGAATTCTAACTCTGATTATGATTGGACAATTGCATTGGCGTGATCGGGAGATCAGCCACCATTATAGTATTAATGATATAACCTTGCAGTCCGAGAGATTTCCGGATTTGGACATGCATACTAATTCACGGAATTTACATACCGATAACGATATCTAAGATTTGACATTAAAATAATCTCTTGCACCAATAAAGTGCACAATTTATGCGATAACGTCGAAAAAATTTGTGACAATATTGAAACGGGTCAAATCCCAGAACGGGTCGCAACATTAATATAAAATCACGTCCTGTTTAATCCATAATCTGTAATAATAATAATAATCATATCTCCCAGTTAAAAATAGAGCAGATAAAATACTTACAATACACAATAAATAGCATAGAGAGATGTTGTACTAGTACATTGGATTGTGGACGACTGAGTTACAGCATATTTACATTGAAGCAGATCACGAAATAAATTACCTAACTTCAAACCACAAGACTTTTGTCCCCGAGAGTATAGAATCTGTAGAATAGGAAAGCAGGACGAGGTTACGGTTTAACATTTAATCAACTGAAAAAAACGGTTTGAGTTTTTAGGGATTCAATCAAGTCATCTCCTGCTGTGCACAGTATAATATTGGCCATTGCTACCTAAATGGCATTGAATCTGAAAGTTTTCTTAGTAAAAACTTCGGACGCATTGTTCTTATTTAGCTCCCTCGTGTGAAAGATCAGTTATCCAGCAACAAGTTTGTAACATTATAATATCGTATGTTAATTCGATCAATAGTTCTCAAATCGGAGATGTAACTGCACTTGTATAAGTATCTGATCATTTGTAACGTCATGTCGAAGTTTTATTTAATCGAAATTTGAAGCGTCATGAACTATGGTACTAGTACGGATAATCCATAATTCAAAATAAATCACCTAAATTCAAACCCTTAAGGTTTGCGTATGTAATCCGAGGTGAAAAGAATAGAATTTTCGTGTAAACATATGTGTAGTCATCCAATAGATGATGCAACTAGCGAAAAGAAAAGCTAGAGCATAAAAAGCTTCTCGAGATAAGGAAGAAAATTTGTATGGTAGGAGAATGTAAACTATGTCGAGACGAGGACAGTAATCCTTTATTATTACGTATAGACTGTTGTGGAAGAAGAATTATATCTCTACAACACAGATTTTCTAGATTAAAGATCGAAAATTCTGGTCACGTTTGTATTTCTTTTTTTCACACGATAACGCAAAAACTAGACATGGAGCGGATTACGAGAAACAGTTTCTCTCGAATCCGTTGATTAATGACTATTCGTAGATTTGCAAGGATACATGGACATGGAGTTACGGGCACATTAACGATATATATCGCACAGGAAAATCTCCGAAAACGTATGGGAAGAATTGTATAAACGAACTAGTTTTTTACCTCAGAAAAATTTTTTTAGTAAACATTATCACGTTTGTTTTGACGGTAGTAGTAGGGACTTAGCCACCCAAAATAGTTAATATTAAGTTACCATAGGTCAAGCCTTATTATGCATTTGTACATATGTAACTTGGAGGAAGAATGGTATCAAAATTGATAATTCAAGGTATAGAATGTGGATGTGATGGTAATAACTATATGTATTTTTTAAATATTTTTTAATGTAGTTTCAGTAGTCCACTGTATTTGTATCATTTTTGGTAATTCAGGTAATTGAAACACTGATTTGTTGTCATTCAGTAATAATATATGTATAAATATAAATCAAACCTTGTGCCCTAACATATTCTGCTTCAGCTGCCTTTTGATATAGCTTGGTTGCTTTGTGTTCATTTTTTTCCACCCCAGTTCCATATTGATAACACCAACCAAGATTATTTTGTGCATCAATATTGCCTTGTTCAGCTGCTTTTTGGTACCACTCAACTGCTTTTTGTACATTTTTTTCCACCCCAATTCCATATTGATAGCAGCAACCAAGATTATTTTGTGCAGCAATATTGCCTTGTTCAGCTGCTTTTTCATACCATTCAACTGCTCTTTGTTCATATCTTTCCACTCTAATCATAAATTTGCAATCATAATATACAGCAAGCTTATATTGTGCCCTTGCATGACTTCGTTCAGCTGCCATTAGATACCAGTCAAGTGCCATTTGTATATCTATTCTTATTCCAATTCCATACTGATAGCAGCGACCAAGCCTATATTGAGCACTAGCATTTCCTTGCTGTGCTGCTTTTTTATACCATTCAACTGCTTTTTGTTCATCCTTCTTTACTACAATTCCATGTAGATAATAAGAACCAAGATAATATTGTGCAGTAGCAATGCCATCTTTAGCAAATTTTTGATACAATTCAAATGCCTTTTGATCATCTTTTTTTACTCCAATTCCATTACTATAACAGTAAGCAAGATCTAACTGTGCACCAGTATGTCCTTGTTTAGCAGCTTTTTGATACCATTCAACTGCCTTTTGTTCATCCTTTTCTACCCCAGTTCCAGTTTCATAACAGGATGCTAACTTATGTTGTGCACTAACATGTCCTTGTTTAGCAGCTTTTTGATACCATTTAACTGCTTTTTGTTCATCCTTATCTACTCCACTTCCATTCTTATAACACATGGCAAGATCATATTGTGCCTTCACATATCCCTGTTCAGCTGCTTTTTGATACCATTCAACTGCTTTTTGTTCATCTTTTTCTACACCAGTTCCAAAATCATAGCAATGTGCAAGACTATATTGAGCACTAGCATTCCCTTGTTCAGCTGCTTTTTGATACCATTCAACTGCTTCTTGTTTATTTCTGACTACACCAGTTCCATCCTGATAACAGCAACCAAGACTATATTGTGCACTAGCATGTCCTTGTCTGGCTGCTTTATGATACCACTCAACTGCCTCTCGTTTACTGCTTCTTCCTACTCCAATTCCATCCTGATAACAACAACCAAGAATATATTGTGCCTTCATATGTCCTTGTCTAGCTGCTTTTCTATACCATTCAACTGCCTTTTGTTCATCTTTTTTCACTCCAATTCCATCTTGATACTTCAAGCCAAGGTTATATTGTGCTTTGGTATGTCTTTCTTCAGCTGCTTTTTGATACCATTCAACTGCCTTTTGTTCATCTCTTACTACTCCAGTTCCATTATCATAACAGCAAGCCAAATTATATTGTGCACTAGTATGTCCTTGTTCAGCAGCCTTTTGATACCATTCAGCAGCCTTTTGTTCATCCCTTACTATACCAATTCCAGTTTCATAACAGGAAGCCAAAGTATACTGTGCACTATCATTGCCTTGTTCAGCAGCTCTTTGATACCATTCAACTGCTTTTTGTATATCTCTGGCTACACCAGTTCCATTCTGATAACAGCAACCAAGACGATATTGTGCACTAGCATGTCCTTGTTCAGCTGCTTTTTGATACCATACAACTGCCTCTTGTCTATGGCTTCTTCTTACTCCAATTCCATCATGATGACAACAACCAAGACTATATTGTGCCTTCATATGCCCTTGTTCAGCTGCTTTTTGATACCATTCAACTGCTTTTTGTTCATCTTTAATTATTCTGGTTCCATACTGATAGCAACGACCAAGACTATATTGAGCCTTTACATGCCCTTGTTCAGCTGCTTTTTGATACCATTTAATTGCCTTTTGTTCATCTCTTTCCACTCCAGTTCCATCCTCATAACAGCAAGCAAGATTAAATTGAGCAGTTACATATCCTTGTTCAGCAGCTTTTTGATACCATTCAACTGCCTTTTTTTCATCTCTCTCTACTCCAGCTCCATCTTCATAACAGCAAGCCAGATTAAATTGAGCAGTTACATATCCTTGCTCAGCAGCTTTTTGATACCATTCAACTGCCTTTTGTTCATTTCTCTCTACTCCAGCTCCATCCTCATAGCAGCAAGCAAGATTAAATTGAGCATTGACATATCCACATTCAGCAGCTTTTTCATACCATTCAGCTGCCCTTTGTTCATCTTTTTCTACTCCAGTTCCATGCTGATAGCAATAAGCAAGATTATATTGTGCATCAATATTTCCTTGTTCAGCTGCTTTTTGATACCATTCAACTGCCTTTTGTTCATCTTTTTCTACTCCAGTTCCATTATCATAACAGCAAGCAAGGATAAATTGAGCACTAACATATCCTTGTTCAGCAGCCTTTGAATACAATTCAACAGCTTTTTTTTCATCCTTTTCTATTCCAGTTCCATGCTGATAACAACAACCAAGATCATACTGTGCTCTAGCATGTCCTTGTTCAGCAGCTTTTTGATACCATTCAACTGCTTTGTGTTCATCTTTTTCTACACCAGTTCCATGCTGGTAACCCCAACCAATAAGGTACTGAGAACTAACATCTCCTTGTTCGGCTGCTTCTTGACGACATTGGACGACTTTTTTTTCTGGTTTATTTTCAGAGATGGTAGAAGTCATTTTTGCTGTAATCTGTCACTAGAGTTTGAGCGTTGAGTCTACTCTTTAATGACTCATGCGTTGCACAATGGCAAGAACATCTCCTTGTACTACATCCGTTTATGATACGTTTCTTAGTAATAGCAAAAACTCCGAAACAAGTCCGATCGTTTATTTAACAATTAAAGATGAGTACTAGTACGTCATTGTTGATCAAATATATACTAATACAGATCTTGTATATCGGTACTGATTTTATGGTGACACGAACCTTAATTCTGCAGACTACTAGTACCTTAATATATAGACGCTAACTGTAATTACTTTGCTACCCATTTAAGTCTTTTTTCTGCAGAGCCTCCGTCATTTTGCGTATTAGAAGAACTATATTCATTACTGAGTAAAAATTTTATTATCGGAGGTTTATCAACTAATAGTATCTGACCCTTATTTGCCCCTTGTTTTATTTTGTGCATTAACCAAAACAAGCATTTAATATTACTGAATGCATTTACTACCGAATGTATTTATTAGACTT